GGGTCCGGTCTCGTCCCGTTTCATGCCTCTAGTTCCCCAGGCCAGTTTAAAGGGATTGCGGGGGCCGGGCGGGCTGGCAGGGGAAGTGTCACCCACGGAGCCCCCATGGCCGGGGTCCCCAGGGCTGCGAGGGCCGGCGGGGCCGAGGTCGAGGGCGTTTCCGAAGACGTGGCCGCGCCGCAGGGGCCTCGGGTGCGCGGCCCGGCCTGTGCCTCCCTCCTCCCCGAGAAGCCACTGGGCCCTCCTTTTTCCTCCACCGTGACCCAAGCTCAAGCGTCGCTGCAGCCCAGGGACCGCGCCTCCGAAGGTGCTAGAAAGAGACAGAGTTCCTTCTCCCGCCCAGGGAAGCCTGGCCCTTGGAGAAGGGACAAAAGCTGGCGGAGGGCAGCGCTTCGTCAAGGCCCTGCTGCTTAGCGCTGCCAACCCAAGGTGGAGGTCCCTGTGGCCAGTTCGTCCCCACCTCAGCTCAGATTAGGCCCCGGCGGCGATCTTGGGAGGGCAGCTCCAGCGTGAGTGAGCTGGGGATTCCTAGCGCCTGGGCTCAGGGCTGTGTGCTCCAAGTGCCCACGCCCAGCTCCCCTTGCTAGGAGGTCAGCCGGACGGTAGAGCTGCCAGCGCCCCAAACGCATTCCAATTACTTGGACGCCTTTGGATGTTAAGCCTTTCCACCAAATAAGTTAAAACGAAGAGCCAGGAGCAGGGTGTTCGCGCAGATGCTGGTAAACTGGAAGCAACAAAGTGGGTGAGCAGGGAGGGAAGCCTCTGCAGTTCTGTAGCTGTTTCTGCTTGCGGACGAATTTGAGTAAAATGACCATTTCACCTTCATCTCTTACACTGTAAAGCAAACCAAAGGCCAAGGGCAGGGGTCGGAGTTCAGGGAAGATGAGAGGGGCGCCCAGTGGTGTGCTTCACCCTCTGGTTTCCTGCGCAGGCTGAAATCTGCCTGCCAAGAGCTTCCAGGCGACAACCGAGAACCGTTAGCTCAGCAGTCGCCCCTTCCTGGGCTGGACCAAGGGTCTTGGCCGCCGACGGTCCCAAGAAGGAGGCGGGAGCCCAGGCGATGCGCGGGCAGGCCACGTGGCTGCGCCCCGCTGAGGCTCTCAGCTTCGGTCTGGAAACGAGTACGGAGCGGCTTGGGCCAACTGAGGGGCTCAGTCTTTAATGGGAAGTGGGGGCAAGAGTTATCTCTCCTGCGAGGGGCGAACAGAGCTGTGCTTTCTAGAGAGGGGCGACGGGTTGGGGTTGTATCTCATCTTTCTTTACAGAAACAGAAACGGTGACCACGGAGTGCTGATTGCTCCGGTCCTTGAGCCCTGTTTTGAAATGACAGCCTGCCTGAATATCAGACTCTACTTGACCTCCACTTAGTTCATCAGCACACAGCTCCCCAAACGGTATCACCCGTGCAGCGCACCCTTATGCTTTCCTCTTCCTCCTGCGGGGATCTTTGCCCCTGGAAACGGAGTAAGGCAGAAATTCCGCTCCATTCTCTACCAAGTGTTCTCCCTTTAAGTCTGAACTGCAAACAGTTCTGCTGTTCTTATTCAGAACGTGGCTTCAGAACTCTCCAAAAATGTTTCTACTTTACCTCGTTTTCTCCTTTTGACTGTCAACCTCAAAACTTTTGTTTTTAGCTGTTTTTAGCCACTCAAAAATAGATTGAATGATTGGACTGTTCTTTTGTGGCCACGGGTTAAGTAAGACAGGAAAGTGTGGGCAAAGTGTAAAGGAAACCTTACCTGACCAAGGGGAATTGGGGAGGAGGAAAGGGTCTTCTAGCAAGGCGGAGGATAAACCCAGTCCTCAACAGGCGGCAACCAGGGGTCTTGAGCCAGGGAGACCTGCGAAGTCATCAATCTCCAAGACTAGGTCTGAAAGAAGTGAGCACAGCCCTTCTCTGGCGCTAAATTTCCAGGGGATGAGTACCTCCCGGCCATTCGGTGGCTGGGTAGTCAAAGCTGAAACTCAGATGGCAGAAAGCTTAAAAGAGAATTGAAAATAAATGACCTCACCCAAACCATCCCAGCCATAGGATCTTTGGAACAGGGTCATGATGGATAACCTTGGTTCTGAGATGCTGTTTCGCTTGAACTCTTTGGAGGAGTGGAGGGATGAGACCAATCTTTGAGGTCTTAAGTGGAGCTGGAATACCACTTTTAGAGCAGAAGGTACAGCAGTAAGTTGTCAGGTGAATTACCTCCCCCCAAATATCTGGGGCTTCCTGATCCTGGCATTGCAAATTTTGACATGCCAGTTGAGGGGGGGGGTGCTGTCCACTCTGGTCCTGTGCAGCTCTTTTTAACATTTTATCCACGGATTTTTGTTTTCCACACCTGGAGAAGCAAGAATGACTCCGTTTTTATGCGCTGATGAGACATATATAATTCTTCATATCACATATATGCACAGCAACTGTAATTTTCACAATGTTTAGTTTAAGGCATGAAAACTTACTTCATTCTGAAAATCTCAATTTCAGGCCTTTAAAAATAGTCTTAGAAGTTTGCCTTTAGGGCTGAACTCAGTCTGACTGGAAGGTTTTCTGTAGAGGACTACCTTCTTTGGCAATGGTAGATTAATTGGGATTCAGTAACTTTGTCTACTTCTAAAATAAGATTCCTGAAAAAATTTTAACTGAACACACACACACACACACACACATGCACACACATTTCTTTTGCACTTGGATAATTCAAAACGAGCTTTGTTTTCAAACTGCAAACTTGGCATGTTTGCAGTCCTTCCTGAGGAATGTGTGCTGTGTTAAAAAACTGAAAAAAAAAAATACTGCTAGAAGTAACAGAAATCTCATACTGAGCACATGAAATAAACATGTAAGTATCCTTAAGACTGTGCCCTGGCATTCCCTTAGCAGCAATTAATTATAAATGCTTTCAGATAAAGAAAAGAAATACACTATAAGATTGTCACTAAGCCAGTAGATTTTGGAGTTCTGGGCTTCACAAAAAGTGAATACTTTAATCTGTTCTTCCACTTCTTTCTTCCCCATCTTTACATGATCTACCACCTGTTTGTTGGCTTTGAGGTCCAAGAACTAGTTTTTCTCAGTTGGATAAAGGAAGCACAGAAGTATTCCTGCAGCAAGGGGTGCGGATTGGAAAGGCTGCTGTTGAGTGGATTGCAGATGAAGTTGTAGATCTTAGATTTCATCTTTCGTTGAACAGTCCACAGGGGTTGTCCAGTTTGGTCCTTATAGGAGATAATTTTATTAAAGTGGAATGTAAAGCTGTGGCAGCATGAGTGATTGGGAAAAACACATTCTTCTTTGGTTAAGCACGTAGCCATAGTGATGTTTGAACACCTTGCCCTAAATAAAAATTCATTCTCTTTTAATGATGGTTTAATTCAAAAATTTAAAAAGATTCTGCTTTTCTCTTTATGCATGTCTTTTGAGAATGAGGAGCCAAAGTTATAAAATTTGAAACTTTCTATCCAGTAGGAAAGTAAAAAAGAATAAGCTGAGATATTAAGAGCACCAGAAATGATCAAATGAGTATTTCAAATAAATAACAATCATTAAAATAGCCAACATTCTGCGTTCTAAATAAAAATGGGATAAAAGACCTAAGTCTGTCCTACAGGGAGAAGCAGGAGCAGAGTGTGGAAGTGTGTAGGGTATTGAACTTTCTGTCTTTCCTTTTTTTTTTTTAGTTTATGGGGAGTGCGCTCTGCTGGAGAGCTGGTATTCCGTCTTGGCTTCCAGTTAACCTTGTTGACATACACTCTCACTACCCATTTCAAAGAATTGCATGAATAACTGAAGAGGTAATGTAAGAAATAGATAATTACTCAAGACTTTACCATGGTCACAGTTGTTTTGCATAATAAGCATTCTATTTTTAACCATCTAATATCAGTAACAAATATAAATAGAAGCTTTACATTCTGCTTTTCCAATTAAATGTTCTTTTCTGATTACTCATAACTTTCGTTTTTCTTCACTTCAGG